GGGATGGAATCTTCCCACACGGTTCTGATAAATGTGCAAGTTGACGTCCATCATCTTGGTTGGTACAGGTGTAGTTTAGACCAACAGTGAACATCCAACAAACCACCAACTGCCTCCGGCCTTTGACCAAACATTAATATGTTAGCGCTGTAGCCTAAGATGTCAGCTTGGCTTGGCTGACAGCACTTTCATCTCTGGTCAGATGGTTATAGTTCAGACCTCAGGTAACAAATTGACCTTGTAGTCTAAGCCGATACTCAAAAGAAGTACAGAGGGAGCTTGATGCATTGCTGGAGGTGCCGTGTTTCAACTGAGATTTTAAACCGAGGTGCCATCTGCCTGAACTGCAGGTGGACGTTATAGATCTTGATTAGAAAACAGAAGGGAGTTTCCTGGCTTACAATCTTACAAATAAATTGGTCATTCACTTCATGGCTGTTTCTGGGACCTTGAATGGCTCATACTGTATTGTACTTTGATGTGATAAGATGCCACAAAATAAGTTATTTTTCTGTACTGTACTGTGACTTTTTTCAAGTCCCCTTCATAAATATTCAAGACTGAAGTTTCACATCATATTCGTCCAGTAGTTGTAAGATGAGATAAAAAGCCTTTTGTATTCGGTAGAACAGAAAGGAAGGGGTACTGAATGGATGGGAGAGGGGGAAGTTAAATAAAATAAGTCTTGATCCAGATTATTTGTACGCCAAGGATGTGCACTGAATCAAACAAACTGATGCATCACGCAGCTCCAAGCACTTGACACACTGCAACATTAACTGATCCATGTGGACCACTGGCAGAGAAAAGTGGACTGATCCAGAGAATGAATCGTTGGCAAACAGTGGATTGGAGCTTTATTTTAAGATTAACAAGTGTTGGAAATTGAGGTTTAAACCATGAATTCCTGATCAGGAAACGATTGTGCAACTTCCAGCATCTTTAGTTCCAGGCCTATTCATCAAAACGTGAGCCAAATAAACATTTCCTTCCCACAAAAGCAATGGCGAGACCAGTTTTTCTGAACAAGTCAGCTCTTGTTTGGTATCTTGCATACGTTTAAAGTAGGCAATGCAGCAATTGTGGGCTTCCTCTTTAAGCCAGTCAGCAGGGTATCTCCTACCTGGAGATATAGTGCAGAGACTTTTGCTAAACTTAAATCATTTTACTGTACTAGATTAATGCATTAGTTGCAAAAGGCATATGAACATTGATGGCGTGAAAAATTTGCTATTCACCAATTGATTTTGACATGTTTGATGATGGCTTCTGGTTTCTGAACACTGGATTACTGAATTCACCAAGGTAAATCTCAAACTCAAAATAAAGGCCACCAAAAACCTCCAATGATTTGTTCCTGGTTTTTGCCGATCTGTGACTTGCAATTTGCCAGCCACAATCCACAAGTCATAATCCACGGAAAGTGGAAGTCACAATTAACACAACATGCCTAGCTTGCAAATAATAATAATAATCCTTGCATTTGATATAGTGTCTTATCACGTCTTCGAGACATCTCAAAGTGCTTCACAGGACACACTGTAAAGTATAGTGGCTGTGTATTTTGTGGGCGAAATATGGCAGCCAATTGCACACACGAGTGTTCCACAAACAGTCGTGGATTGAAGTGACCAAATTTTTTTTACATACGAATATCACTTCTTAGTTGTAAATTAAAAAGGATTATTTACCCAAACAAAAGATCTGCAAACACAAACATAATGCCAAGTGGATATTTTTGCAGTGCCATGGATAAGATCAGTTGACCAGGTTTCAGGGGCTGCCAATAACTGTTATTGTTCAAAGCCCAGCTTCCTGATTTACACATGAAAATTGGGTCACAAGTTTATCTTGTCACATCAATGATACATCTTGTTAATCCCACTTTCCCACATGGACGGAGGGAGTTGGAAGAAGGTAAATCAAAGCTTCAAGTTAGAAATAGGAAGAAAATGATCAGAAAAACAGTGACAATAAGGAATATGAGAAAATAAATTTTGAAAAAGATGAGTAAGAGCAAGTTTTTTTTTAAAAAATCCATTTTGACATATTCTAAATCGGGGTTGATCAATTTATTACAGCAAGCGTTTTTTTTAAAAAAAGCTTTTCTTGATGTTTTGTGTGCCTAAACTATTAGGTTAGGGGAAATTCAACTCACAGAGCATGAGTGCAAATGTACAAAACTGAAGAGCAACAGAGATGAGAGCCTCCACAGGCTAGTTGGCATGCTAAAGTTTACATTTGTCCTCCTTCAATGGCTGTTTGGCATTTATAATTGATTGGTTTGCGTACTTTGTCAGGGCACAAACTCTGCACATTGATTACATCTTTAATCACCGAACACAAAATTCCCAGTGTACTGGTTTTTATAAAATAAATATGTTAACAGAGGACATTAGGGATTCAGAAATGGGGAAACAAATGGAAGCAGAGTGAGTGAGAGAGAGAGACGCGCGTGTACATTAAACTGAAATACTAAACATAAAATTTGACATGAAAGTAAAGCAATGTTATGATACTACCCACATTTGTGCGTTTTTATTCTCTCCTCTTCCCCTATTTTTCAATGCCTTATCTTAATGTTTTTTCCTCCCATTCTGACTTTGTTTACTCCCTCCTCTAAATACAAGTCTTTATTTCTTTACTTTCTTCTGCTGAAAATCAGATTCCAACCAGTCAAAAAGATTTCAATTTGTGTCTAAAGGTCACTCACGGTCATCGTGTGAACCTAGCATCTAAATACCGCTGCAATGGCCTTTGGCAAGAGCACCCATGATGTAAATCATGCTCTCTCTAGGCAATTCCCTCTGTGTCCGTCCCACCGAACCAAGAGAACTCAGCTTCAAACCAAGATCTCACGAAAACTGAAATTGTGTGACTCAGCATGATGTTCAGGCCATTTCTTGGAGAAAGCACAGTTTAAAATCGCAGGTGCGTTCCCTGATCCTTGCTCAGCTTGAGTGCTCTTTGTCACCATAGCATCAAATTCAAGAAGAAGGCTGCAAATAGCTATTTTCATCAGTGTTTCCCCCAACCTCCCACGGCACAACAGCATCCAGACCAGCGGGTTAACATTTTCAGACATCTGATATCCATTTATCTGATGAATGAAAGTGCCAGAACACAAGTTACCCCTTCCCCCATTTAAAACAAAGAGGTGAGAAATCCAGTTTAGACTGAGGCTCGCAGACATCTCAATTACCTGCACACTATTATATAAATTCAAAGCTACCAGCAAAGCAAAAAGTCTTATGGATGTTGAGGGTAATTTTTTTTTCTCTCAAAAGACCATGACTGAGAAAGCTTAAAAAGAGAAAAAGTAATTGACGACGTGCCCAGGAATGATTTATTGCTGCTTCCCTTTTTCCTGTGAAACATGAAAGGAATGTCAGGCTCGTACCAGGTGAGGTCTTATTACAAAGATTTCTACAAGTTTAAACCAGGATGTGTGTTTTTATTGTAAAAGCTAAACAGGCAACAACAACTTGCATTTATATAGCGCCGACATGCAGGGTAGTGTTCGGGAGCGCTTGACAGTGGCAGAGCAGGCAATTTCACCTCATCACATTTCCTCTGTCTAGCGCCCTCATTCTCTAGTATTTTAGGGTTCACTGTTGGGAAGAGCAAAGCAGGGCCAATGATATAATAAAAAAAAGTACGGCATGTCCCTCACTAGTTTTCTGTAATATCTTTGGTACTGCAATCAAGACAGTGAACTGATTGACATAAAGTGGGTTTGAAAGAATTGATCTTTATTATATATAAGGGAGTGATTACCTACTGATCTTTAGTGGTAACCTAATGCTTAACTACACGCATTTCCTGACAAAATACACGAGGGGTGATTGACATGTTGCGAGTTTATACTTTACCGTATTTATGTATCATTGTTGAGCACCTTAGTTTCGGAAGAAACTACAAACAAAAGGGAATCTGAGCAACAAAGAAGATCAGGAACATAAGAGACTTGTCCACAAGTGAAGTTGTTTTCAAACAACGTCCTTGTCAATACAGGAAGTAATTGCAATTGTGTTGCATCTTCACTTGCAATAAAACAAAGGTGCAATTTTCCCACACAGTAAATATTTACTGTGAATATTTATTGTGTGGAAAAATTGCATCTTTGTTTTATTTGAAGTGAAGGTACTTGCTCTTGCTCTGAAGTCACTGAAATGCACAGAAGATTTTGAGAAACCAGTGAGGAGCGAGGCCCATAATGTGAGGCACACAAGGTCAATGATGGGGAGTTCAAAGCAGAAGAGGAGAAAAGATAGATTAAAAAGTTGTTTGGCAAACCTAGGTTTTATAAGGTGATAGATTTGTTGGAGGAAGGGAAGACTAAGGCAGGTAGGAGGCCCCATAATCTTAACATCTTGAGAAAGAATGAGTTAGAATGGAAGTGATATCTTTTCACCTGGTATATTCAGTACTATATACCTTCCTTTACAGAGGCAAATAGAACAGTTCAGTAACTGGTATGCATCGCCAGCACAATAACTATAGTTTACAAATCCATAAAAGACCAAATGTTTCACACAGAGTATTTTAATGCAGAAGACTCATGGCATTACTTGCTTCTTGGGAGCCAGCCAAATAGCACTTTATAGCAAGATGCAGGTTATAATGGAGTCCCATTGATTACTCAGTTGAGTGCATGTGTGCCGATGCTGTAAGAACAGGAACTGCAACTTTGGCACAGTGTAAATGGCGCTTTCAATAACCGTTGCAGTACAAACAATAGCACATTAACATCACTCGTTTATCACGTATACAGTTAACATTTCTGACAGAAGTGACCAAGAAAGTAATTTAAAGAGTTTAAAACCAATCTCGTATTATATCTGTGTGAAATGTTACATTTCTCTACTTCTTAAACAAAAAGGGAAGCTGGAGGCTTGGTGCCCTAATAGCAGTATTATAGTGAAGCATTGTTTCAAAACTATTAAAACTGTACTAAATACGCAAAGCAGATTGTAAATATTACTGAGAATTGCTCTTACCGTGTTGCCAATTTATGGCAGATGGCCCCGCTGTCAGTGATGACTTCACTTAGTCTTAGCTCCAGGTGAACCTTACCCTAAAATACAAGATAATTACTAAGATTCAGAATTACATACAAGCACTCAATTTGCATTTAGTAAATACTATTGAATTATTTTATATTTGCTTATCGTTAATTAAATTCTTTACTTTAATTTCACATTTAAGCAGTTCATAATTTCAATAAATGCCCTGTAATGCCTTAAAGGATTTTATTAGTTAGAAATAAAGTTCCACCTGACTATTAACACTGTCTGTCTAAATGGTTAGGATAAATGTATTCGCGAATTAATGTAGCACATTGTGCGTTGCACTGAAGAGACATTCATGAATTAAACAGATAAATATCTGAATTTTTCCTGAAAGTTTTACAAATCAAAATGTAGTATTCCTTGATGGTTCAAACATTTACCCATGAACAAGAAACATCAGCTAGAGTGCATTAAGCTATGAAGCGTGAAACCACTCAAGCAAAAGACCAATTCTCATCTTATTGCTGCCATTGTTATACGCGTCACAGTAAAAACGATCCCAAATGGGATATGTAATCCAGAGTGTCAGGTTATACAATACTGACCACATTCAGATAACAGGATAGAACTCTTGTAATCAAGGACTTTGAATAATGCATCTTCCATCTATGACTATTTGTACTGGAAAACCTGAACACAATGAAGTCATCAGGCATTTAAAGAGGTAAATATTTTGTCCTAGATTGGTAAAATGGTATTGTTTATTGTTATAAACTGAAATTGAACACGTGATAGGGGTACGGAGAGTTTCAACAAAATTCCATTTTCAACAAACTTTTCTTTCTTATATTGAACAGTTTTCCTCTTACAGAGCAAAACTCAATTTCTGGTAAGATAGGCTCATAGAGAAAGGTGCGTGTGTGGGTGGGGGGAAACCTTTGATCTTGTTGCTCACTTGTTGCTTCCCACCGGAACAACTTGGATTTATATAGAATCCTTTATATACAGTAATGTGTCAGAGCACATTATAGAGTGTGCTGAACACTGATCAGGGAGAGGGAGTCACTCTCACTTTTCCTCTCCTCGGTCCTCCTTCCCTTTCACTAAGACTCTTTCTGTTTCTCTTACATAGTATGTAATTCACTCTTCTCGCTCACGAACATTCTTTTGTCTTTTCCTCTATCTATTACCTCATCCACTCGCACTGTTACACTGTCTCTCGTACATTCGTCCCTTGTGCTCACTGAGGATTCCCTGTATGTGTGTCTGTATCCATGGGAACCATTTTTCGCTCAAAGTAGATTTTATACATGTGCAAAAGAAGAATTGGAGTGTCTGGAAGTTGAGGTGGAGAAGCATATGTGCTGTGAATGGCAGGTGCTGTAGTTCTAAAGTTGTAAACCGGATTGTAAGGTAGGAGCATATGAAGATGGTTGTTCTTAACTTCATTTCCTGGGCAGGAAGTAACGTCGAGGCAGGCATCTTGACCATGTGCCGCCTTACAACATGGTCCCTTGATGTCTCTTCATATCTGTGGATGTGCACCACACAAGGCAGGGCGAAACCTTGGGCAAGTTTCCTTACGTCACACGCCTAATCATAATCCCTCCAAAACAATAATAAATTGCTCATTTTAAATCCACGACTGTTTGTGGGACACTACTGTGTGCAATTGGCTGCCCCGTTTCGCACACAAATATACAGTCAATTCACTTTACAGCATATTCTGTGAAGCGTTTTGAGACGTCGAGAAGACGTGAAAAGCGCTATATCAAATGCAAGGATTATTATTATTATTTATTTGTAAAAATCTATGGTTATGTCCAAGAGTAAGGGTTATTTTAATTTAAAACAAATTATTTTAGTGACAGAGCAACAGACGTCATGAAACACACGGATATCATTGTTTGTAATGCAGATTCATATCCATAATTCCTTGCAAAGTAAATTACCAATCGTGACTTGTTACAGGCATGGCGGGAGACAGGGAGATAGGAAGAAGGGGATAAAAGTATAACAATAATTTTAACAGTAAGTAAGTAACTCACATCGGGAGGATGGCTCAATGAACTTAGATAAGCAAAGGGATAAAGGGTTAAAATAGAAGGGTCTGAGCTCTTCTCATGCAGATTCTAGCAAACAGCTCGGAGGAAGCATAGGCAAAGATCTGGGAGTTGGGGGCATACCTGCACAGTCACAGCAGGTGGCAAGGCTCACCGGAGGGAGAAATTAGTTTTGCTTTTGTCTTTCTTAAAGTTATAAATATTACAAAAGATTCACTGTCTCAGCCATCCAGTTGAGGATTTTGTTTGAGGGGTGAGGGAAAGAAAAACTAGTTGAAGAAATTGCAGTTTTACAAATAATTGAACTTTAATGAATTCCATCTTTATTTTGCTCTATCCATCTCTCACTCAAAATCTCAGTTTTTCTAATCTGCCTCTTGCTCCCAGTCTGCCTAAATATTTCGTCCACTTGCTCTAACCATAACCAAAATGGCAGTGGAGTAAGCGTGTGTGTTTAGGTTTATGTAGATTTACAGCAAAGAAACGGGCCCATTCAACCCAATCAATCTGTGCCATTGTTTACGCTTCACATGAGTTTCCACCCACTCCTTAATGTCTCCCATACTCTTCTATATTTTTGTCTCATGGCACTGGCTGTGAAAACATCAAAAAGCAGAAACAGGTGCTCGCTTTCTCCCAAGAGCCATGTCAAAGAATTAGCAGCAAAATGAATAGCAGCTCAATAGAATAGTGACAAAGAAACTCACCTTCAGGGGTAGTAATCATTCTTCCAAAACATGAATATATCCATCCACTCAAAGTGTGTGTGTGTGTGGTGGGGGGGAGAGAGTTGAGGGGGAGCGTAAAGCGAAACAAAGAGACAGATGTCCCTTTCATTGATATTTGGGCAAAACCATATGATCTTCCTCCTCCCTGACTATACTTCTCCCCCCCTTCTTTTGCAGCTATCATTCCTTCGTTTTCTATTTCTACAGGAGACACTAGCAACCATCCAACAAAGGGACTAACCTTCTCATGCTAACAAAAGTACAAGTTTATTGAAATGATTTACGATGCATACTAAACTCAAGGATTTTTGTCCTAAAGTAACTATCTAATACCGTATGATTAAACATAAATGATCAGGTAAATACCATTACCAAATATAGTATCTTTCTTAGAGACTGATAAATCACAAATTCAATGTGGAGTAAGCAGAAATTTTATGAAGGATATCATGATTCCACCACACCTTAAGATAAGCCTTCTTTCATTTACTTAGTTACATATTCTACAGATAATCAATAATAAAGCACTATCTCCTACAAAGGGGAGGAGGAATGTATAATGTGCCCAAGGCTGAAGTAAGCAGGGTCCAACCAAACTATATGATTTTCTTGGCAGAAACAGAAAGGTCAGGGCAGTGATGCTTGTACAAGTGTGTGGATATTCTGTTTAGCTGCTTTCCAAATGCTCTATTCCAGTGTAAAAAATGTTAATGATTGTCAGGGGTTATATGGCTTCCCAACTTTAAACAGAAAGCCAATGCCACACACTTAACCATCAATAAAAAATACATGGCTGAAGATAATAACCCAGTGTTGGTTCGATAGGATAAGCAAAAGGTTGAGAATTTCCCACAAGTAGGCAAGATTTCCAACATTCATATGTAAACCGTTATTTCCTGAAAATCCTATGAGGTCCTGGATAAAAATAAAATGCTGACCACTAGCATCATACTGCTTTAATTTGAGAGGTCTGATTTATCATCATGCTTGATCAAACAGAATTCATTGATAACTAAAGCTTCAAGTTTACTCTGCTGTCCATAACCTGGAAGCAATAATGTTCCACTTCAAAGCCTGAGAGACAGCTGGATCAGAATTCAGGCTGAGATCAGAATAGTATAAGGGATTAAGTTTATATGCCAAACCCTCTGGGGCAAAGAGAAAGAAAATGTAAACCCCAGAATTCCTTTGTAACCAGGAAGTGAAAATCTGAAAGCTTCTACATCACTGATGAACTCTTTAATCCATAAATTCCTTAAGGTATCTAAACATCTGTCACATGGAATGAGTGACCAAATTAATTTTTTTTNGTAAAGGATTATTACCCCTGGAAAAGCGATCCGGCAATCAACTAACAACCGAGTTCCTACTTACTGCTGGGTAAACAGAGGGGTGTGAAATAAGGAAACTTACCCAATGTTTCGCCCTGCTGAGAATCGAACCCTGGTCCTCTCGCTTGCAACGCGACTGCTCTAACTACTAAGCTACAGGACTCCATAATCTAACCATCTCAATTTGGGATGAGTTGAGATACTCAATGTGGGACGCAGTTGTCTTAGAAGCTGGAGCTCAGCACCTGAAAAGTTATATTCCAACTTTTCCATTAGGGAAAGATGCTGGGGCATTTGCAAAGCAGTTTCACTGTGGATTCAGCACATTCCAACAGAGATTCAGTGAAGACGTCCTTCAGACCATTTGATCTCATCCTTCAATAACACTCACCCCACTGTCCTATTACAGGTCCTCGTTTGTATTTGTTCTCAGCTAATATTGGCATTGGAAGACTAAAATAACTTATTTTACTGAGTACAAGAGGACGTAGAAAGCAATAGGGATATCTGTGCTCAAGGTCATTGCCCTTCGTATATAAATTAATCAAAAATAATGTATCTTACTTCACAGCTGAAGAATGTAGTGCTACGTTCTGAAACACATGCCCACCTCTCTAACATAGAATAGGAAATTACCTAAATGGGTTGCTTTTCTGAGTATAACTTGGGAAGTACAGTTAAGGAGTCCTGCTGCAATGGTTGAAAGTGACCATCTCAAAACTGATGACTCTAAGGTAGGTGATAGTGGCTGAGTTTAACCAAATATTAAGTCTTAAGTAATCTGTCCCAGAATCTTTGCATTACAGAGTCTGGAATCCTAATATACAGAATGCAAAGGATAGCTGCTATAGTTATGTGAATAACTGAATTTACTGTTTTGCCTGAGCTCTCCTCCCCTTCAGCAAGTACCTTCCCACTGTCAACAGCTGGCAAGGAAGTGAGCAGTGATACAGCCTTGGTCCAGTTAACTGTACACAGGCAGGATATGGCCTCAAGTCAAGCACTTGATAGCCAAATGAACCTAAAACATTAACAGTTGGCACAGGGTACAATGAGTTACCTATTTATGGCCACATATGAGCCTGCTCCAAAAACTGTCATAGGAATCTGGATTGTGGTGATGCATATCTCGGATGCTTTTGTAGTCTGTTTTACCCATGTCCAAGGTTGCTTTCTCTAACCCATGGCCACTCTGACAATGGGTTCCATTATACACCATGTGCATTACAGGTAAGCTGTATGTATATACTGAATTTTAAATGCACTTATTAAGCAATTAACAACCAAAGAAAGAGAATTCTAATCAGTCTTTTTCATTTGCAAATTATAAAATTATAGGCACCTGCAAATCATATGGCATATAATCCTGCTGTGTTTGCATATGGTTTCCAAATTAAGCATAATATACCAACCACATTGACAGCTAGTTTTTCTTTTCATTCTGCTTTGAGCCTTTAGCAGATCTAGTATAAAGCAATGTTATGGTTGAAAGGAGCTTCATAGTGCCCAGGAAGGTCTCCGTTTCCATCCCTGGTATGCGGTGAGTGAGCCAGTCTCAGCTAGGGGAATGATGCAGTTACTATATTTGGCCTCAATGTCCTTGAGTCCCACCATAATCGTTCACTACTGATTCCAAGACTACATACACAGATGCTGAGTGAGGACAACATCAGGCTCAACTGCCATGCCCATCTCCAAGGTTAAACAGTTCACCGTCCTTCATAGCCAATGCTCAGAGTGGCCACTTGGATGAAGTACTGGCAGTCAACTGATAACCTTAGAATTCTACCCCCATGGGTGAGATACCTTCAGGAGAGGAGGAGTAAGGAGAGTAAGCTAAAACATAAAGCTGGCCTTATGGCCCATCTGTTCTAATATTTCCAGAAAATGCGCTCGACCATCCTTCAATCACAGCATTAAACTGTTTATTAAAATAAGTCCAACATCCTGGTCTCAACCATCCTTTGCAGTCGTTCATCACTCTCTGGGTAAATAAATACTTCCTGGTGTTTGTTCGGAAATTGCCGAACTTGATCCCATAAGTTTCATTGGAGGCTAAACACATTTGGAATGAAAATGATTGGGAATGCAATTATTGTATCGAATTATTGAAAAGCTAAAACTGAGCAACTGGAGGTATTGAGATCTGAGAAGCCTTTCATTGTGAAGTTAAAATAACTAGTGCTGGGTACTGTACATTTTAATAATAATCCTTGCATTTGATAAAGCGCCTTATCACGTCTTTTGAAATGTCTCATAGGAACATAGGAACAGGAGTAGGCCTTTCAGCCCGTTAAGCCTGCTCCGCCATGTAATTAAATCATGGCTGATCTATATCTTTACTAGAATTTTAAATCCAATTTCCCGCTTTCTCCCCGAATCCCTTAATACCCCGACCTACCAAAAATCTGTCAATCTCTTTCTTGAAGGTGTGGATGGATCCAGCATCCACGACCTTTTGGGGGAGAGTTCCAGATTTCTACCACCCTTTGAATGAAAAAATGCTTCCTAATTTCACTGTTAAAGTGAAGAGCTCAAAGCGCTTCACAGAATATACTGTAAAGTGAATTGACTGATCTCAAATATTTTTTTTGCTGAGATTGCGCAGATATATTGAGAAGCAAATCTTACTCCAATTCACCATTTCAATATTTTAATAATGCTTAGGGTTTTGTGATTGAAAAAACATTACATAACCAAAATGTAATTTCTCTGGAACTCAAGTCCTCCCCTCAGCCATCTAAGCCTGTCTCTTGCGTGGTGCTGTGGCTGACTGCCCAGACTGCACTGCCAACTGCACTCCCAGAGCAAATCAAAGTTCAATTAACTCAGATTTGAATCCGGCTCGATCAGTCTAGGGAGCAGGAAACTAGCATCCTGCACAGGCAGGTTACTGTGCTGCTTATATACCTACCCCACCCCCAAATTGGAGTCTTCAACAACTATGTGTGTATGACATTTCTTTTTGCAATACTTCTTCCTATTGCAGTGATAGTTTCCATATCTAGATCTCTAATGGTGGTAAGTAGATCCACTTTATAGTGGAGCATTAAGAACAATTCAATGTGACTTAGGACAAGAGAACTTTGTCTGTTTAGTTAGGTTTGCGTTCATTAAGCCAATCGATGTCAATAATGAAAAATGAGTTGTTTTCTACTTCTGCCACCCTGGGCTCATAATGAAACTCAGCTCAACTCCTGCACAGAGTGTCAGCTGAAGGTGCCTCTGCTCTGCCCCCAATAATAATAATAATCCTTAGATTTGATATAGCGCCTTATCAAGTTGTTTAGACGTCTCAAAGTGCTTCACACAATATATTGTAAAGTAAATTGACTGTGTGTTTGTAATGTGCCTTCATCCTTTGTTTTTTTATTCAGAAACTTAGGTGACGGTCCAAGGTCCATAATACAGAACATCACTGAGCTGAAAAGAGTAGGAGAGAGGGTACAATAAATCAAGCAGTGGTGGTTAAGTGATGCCAAGCTTGAATTTTAATAGCCCGCATCTCAGAACAGTATACCCACTCACCACAGGATATGATATTACTCTTTCTCATGCCAGCTTTCCCTGTTGCCTTTCAGTATGGAGCTGCTACTTTAGTGCTGTGGACTCATTCCCACCAAGCAGTGGGTTGGGGCATATGGCCTACAAAATAGAGAGTCACTGCAAGTTACAGTAAAATCCTGAGATGTGCTTTGAGACAAACTCCTGACGTGAAAGGAGCTACATCAAATTTATGAATTATTATAATTATTACTATTTTTTGGACAATGCTCATTTGCATCTTGGTAATTTACATACAAAAAAAAGGACTCCCCCTCTACGATCAATCTGAGCTCACTTGGAACAAGGGCCCGGGAGGTAAAAGGTTGTGAATGAATTACTGTCTGTGTTGGTCACAGTGGTAAACTCACCTGAACTTCAGAATCAGCATCCACTTGCTGAAGAGGAAACCAGGTATCACGGTTGTGGTATTTCTGAAGATCATCTTTCTTTATTGCAACTTTGCCTGCAATGAAATCAGAATTTGTTTTTGTTTTGATGTCAGATCAAAGTTAAGCCATTGCTTTAGCATTGGTCAGGAGAACAGCCAAAGCTCAATCTTCAGTAAAACATGTGCCAGTGATGCAACCATTAATTTTCACAATTTATATAATTGGGTTATACGTTTCCTGACAAATTAAACAAGGCTCCTCCAACATAGTTTTGTATTCTGCCCCCTCCCCCAAAAGGTGGTGATTCTTCCCTGGGTATCTGTTTTCTGTTATGTTATCCAAATGTCCATTGGTTATGAGCTAGCCTTGACATGTGATGCCTGTAAGCTTCTTGATCATATTTTTTGCTTACCCATGCCCGCTCCCCCCACACGCATACACATACACAGCTGAGTTACTGCACAGCTGTCAAGAGTCTTGGCTGTTATTTTTCCTCCTCAAACTGGGTTCTGTGCCCAATTGCAGCATTGCTCCAGTTTACATCAGCCACCTCACATTGGTGTTTGAACATGGAACTTTTCTTGCTGAGGGGTATGGTGTTCCATGGCCTTGGTGCATTGTTTCATTGGAAAAGCGGATGATTGCCATGATATCCACAGTTGACACCGGAAGGTTGCTTCAGGAGAACAATTAAGGCCACTGGTGCCATTGTTAGTGCAATGTGGATGGTTGACTGTTCCTGCTCCATTAAATTAAATGGTTTGTCCACAAAACACACAATCACTCCACCTTACAGTATATCCTGTAAAGAGCTTTGGGATAGCCTCCTGACTTGAAAGGAGCTATATCAAATGTAAGGATTATTATATTCTTGCAGGTCATAAAATATTGTCAGTGGTCCAAACCACTACCTACCAAGCATTCCCATTTTGGTAAGTTACAATGATATCAGCGTTTAGCAAAGAACAAATGTATTCAGAATTTATATGATTAATAAGAATAATGAATCACCTCCAAATGAGAAAAACTTACAAAACAGCTTTGAACATCTAGTTGCAACTGAGCAACAAATCACTGTTATACCAAATAAATTCCTAATTGTTTTAAATTTGAAGAGAATATTTATTAATGTACCAGACTACAAGAATTCGGATCCATTTGCTAAACGCTAACATTACCGCAAAAACATCTTACATAAATGAAGATTAATGCTTTTGGAAATAATGCATCTAATGTGTAGGTCACAGCAAAGAGTTGGTGAAAAGACATTGGCTGCGGTGAGCAACCAGAAAAAAAATGAAGAATGTTTAAAAATAAAACTTTATTTATTTTGCTTATGGTGTTATAAATGCTTCGGATAGATTTACTTTTTGACACAATTGAACTTTATAAGGTCTTTGTTGTTGACGCTTTTTTTTTCAGGTTTGCTTGTAATCAGAATGTGACACATTGTGAAATGTCACCTCATCCCCAAGACACCATTCCCTTTCTAACAGTATTTTCCAGTGATGTTGTGACCTTTCACAAGCTAAAGCTGGCTTACTATTATTGCCATCCTGGCTGCCGGGATAAAAGATGAGTTCACAATTTACATTGAATTTAATTGACAAAAGTGACTGCCCTGAAACATCTGACATTTTGGGCCTTGTCGGATCTTTGCAACATTGAAAGAAGGTGCATTCAAATGAGTGTAGCAACGTCTCTTTAAACCTGCAATTGCAATCACCTAAACAGGACAGAAAGACTGAATTTGTCAATGAGGGAGAAAATTAGTTATGCTGGTTTTGGTAAAATACTGTTCCGATGTCACATAATTTCCTGAATGTGCAAGAAAAAACACTACTTGAAGTTGCTCTGCACAGGAACTCCGCCTTGCTCAATTGATCTCAGCAGATGTAAGCACTCAACTTGGGACTTGGGACCAATGGGCAGAGCTTTCCACTGTGAACTTTAGTTTTGAAAAACATCAGTATTCCACAAAACAGCATCACAGTTCTAATGGTTCCAAACTTTTCAAGTTGGGTATAGCTTTTACACAGAAAACTGAAATGTTTTATTAAAATTAAACAATTACGAGCTGGAATCCAACTACTCTATAGGCATTTGGTATGAGTGACTTTACCCTTTTATTTTGGGGCTATTGCACTTGAAGTCTGAAATTGCACCTAGTCCTAGGCTGCACACTATAGTTGCTTGAAGTTTAAGATCATGCAGAATGTGATAAATTCTTAAATGCAGTTTTAATTTGGAATTTGATTCTTTTTAAAAACTGCTTCTTTTAAAAAATTGGCTTCCAAATAAACATTGAATTTTCCCCAATTCTGCAAAATGCATTTTCAGTAAAAATATTGCTAGGTCCGCAAAGATTAAATCTCATCTGGAGCTAGTTTATAAGCAGTATAATTTGCAAATGCCCTTTGACAAGTTTTAAAACTAGAGCTTATGTAGTATTGACTCACTTTCAGTGGACAAGTTTAAAAAGTCACTCTTAATGGGGCTTTGCTTCAAGTCTTTATTGAACGCATGACATCATCCCATCATTCAATGCAGCTGAACTGAAAATTCCCTTCCGATACTGTATTGAATGCCGTCCTAGATGCGCAGCGACATGTAATAGTAATGGGAGGCCTCGAACAGGGACATTGTAAATGGAATGTCTGCTTTGACTGCTTTCAAATCAGGTCTATATCCAAGAGTTTTGAAAATAGATTGATGATGTAACACTGAATAGCACATTAAAATAATACAGAATAAAAAGCTGTTCTGCTATTACTCTGATATTAGTTAAAAAAGAGTTTAATAATTCTGGCATACAGCAGGATTGAAATAAACTGGATGAATTCAATTCCATTGTCTTATTCTCTCCCTATACACCTAAATATTTGTTTTCCACAAGCATTTTCCATTTCCCTTTTAAACGCTTCATTTGCTATTTGTGGTAAGCAAGTCCGTGTTCTAACAATGTGTGTACATAGGGATGAACTGCTGTGCTGACAGAATGTCTGTCAGATATCAAGTCTTGGATAAGACCTAACTTTCTTCAGTTGAACGTCAACAAGACCGAGGCTCTCCTGATTGGTTCCCGTCAGCGCCTCCACACCTCAGGCGCTGACAGTATCACCATCCACAGTTGCGCACTCCATGTTACTAATAATAATAATAATAATAATAATAATCCTTGCATTTGATATAGCGCTTTTCACGTCAGGAGGACGTCCCAAAGCGCTTCACAGAACACATTGTAAAGTGAATTGACTGTATATTTGTGGCGAACGCGGCAGCCAATTGCGCACAGCAATGTCCCACAAACAGTCGTAGATTGGAAATGACCAATTTATTATTGTTTTTGGTTTTGGAAGGATTATTATTAGGCGTGTGGAGTAAGGAAACTTGCCCAAGGTTTCGCCCTGCCTGGAATTGAACTCAGGTCTCTCACTTGCAAAGCGAGTGCTCTAACCACTGAGCTACAGGCTACTAAGCCAGTCCGGAACCTTGGGGTCTTGTTTGACCCTCAACTATCCTTTCCCGGCTCCGACACTGTCTCACACCGCAGGCCGCCAAAACCCTCATACACTCCTTCATTACATCGAGGCTCGACTATGCAAACTCACTGCTTGTCGGTCTCCCCAACTCCTCCCTCCACAGGCTGCAGATCATCCAGAGCTCTGCAGCCCGTGTCCTCTCCCACACTACGCTCTGCGACCCTGTCACCCCTCTTCCTTGCCCAACTCCATGGGCTTCCCATCACACAGAGGATACAGTTCAAGATCCTGGTCCTCACCTTCAAAGCCCTCCAGAGTCTTTCTCCCCCCTACTTCTGCGACCTCCTAACCCTCTAACACCCTGTTCGCTCCCTCCGCTCAGCGGGCTCCAGCCTGCTTCACGTTCCCCGCCTATCGGCGGGCGGGCCTTCCACCACTCTGCACCCACCCTCTGGACTTCCATCCTGCAGTCCCTCTGTCTCACCCTCTCCCTCGCCACCTTCAAGACCCACCTCAAGACCCTCCTCTTCAACCGTGCTTTCGATCTCCCTGCTCCCCTCTCTGCCCTCACCCACCCCGGGTCCGTAACTCTGTCTGTCCAGCGCCTTGGGATGTCCTCCCGACGTGATAGGCGCTATACAAATGTAATTTTGTTGTTGTACAGGACCAAACAAGACCATTGATGTCCATCTGGCAGTTCTCTCTGATTAAAAGAACAAAAGCAATAAAAAAAATGAAATAATCCTTCACTACTCTATCTCTCATTTGAATTATTTGCCAAATACCAATCTACACCCCTTTTGAATTTGCTCACACACAATCTCCTCCCACTGCCTCCCTGACATATTAGCCGCTCAGTGTATAAAATAATTAAACATTGAACTATCTGTTCAGTTTCCCTCTTCTGAGATTGTTTATGAAAATTTATCTAAAAAATTCTTATTTGCCTGTGCTATTGGCCACCTCCCCCTCTACAACCTTAAGGTCCTACTTTATAAAATGCTTTGACACATTCTCTCTTTGTGAAATGAATTATAGAAGTGAAAATTGTTGTTGTGTTCCCTTACTCCTAAATTATTGACCATGTTAACAATATTATTGGGAGGCGGGTGTTTATCTATGCCCTTCTCTTTTTCAAGATGAATATTCCCAGTTTCTGTAGTCCTCCTCAGAACTTGGGTGACTAATTGCAGCTATTGATGTAGTTGCCCATCGCCATTTCACCTTCACAATTCCCCCTTCCAATTCCATGTTAACCTTTCTCACTTTCCTGGTTTGTTTCTGACATATGCAATAGAATGAATTGTTTCTACAAGTATGGACATTAAAGCACATTACTCTCATATCTAGTCCACTTAAGTCTTGCAACTTTAAGAGAGTTTCCAAAATGTCATTCCGCCTGTCCGGAATGTCATGGGAGCTTTGGCCTGATGCTAATATATTAACTTGTTATCACCCTTACCAATTATCTCTGAGATGCAGAATTTCCCATGGTAAAAGAGAACATTGGAGTGATCACTTCCCAGCACATTCCACAATACAGGTTTCATGAAGAGTCTAGCATTTATGAGCACCAAGATGGCTTGGTCATT